CTTCGGAACCCCGACCGTAGTTGAAATGCACAGGGGAGACTTAGTTATCTGCTCCAGGGTCGAAGCTAACGTTAGCTCCGGGGCTAACTCCCTTCACTTTGTGCTTGTCCGCAGTAGAGGTAAACAGAAAGACACAGACAGACATACGCTACTAGTATAACACAGAGTAGCCATTGATGACTAGCGGTACGATCGTCGTTAGCCCGCAAAATTTTCATAAATTAGCTGCATCGTCGTTTAATCCGCAGGGTTCAGAGCGCGTAAAAAAAAGTAGCGGCTTACAGTCCGGAAATTAGGGTAAATTAGAGATGTCCGATATCAACTTTTTGGATATGCCGATATTGTCCGGACACTTAGGTTCTGATTCCGATATCAAGCATTACCGATATACGCAGCCGTTCGGGTTTAAAGGAGAGGGCGCGTTCCATTTTGTGCAGTGGTGTGCTGTGTCTCAATGACAATAATTCACTTTCACTTCAAGGCTATATTTGGGTCACATTTTCTGGGCCAAACTCAGGCCAATAACGATTCTTACCGATAAACAACATCGGAGTCAAACACCACCATTCCCATTTCCATTCGTTTACATTTAAGAGACACCTTCGCACGTGGAGGGAAGAATGAACCCGCTGCAATTAACGCGTGGGTGTGTTTTTTGTCAAAAAAAAAGGTATTTCTCAGCGTGTTTTTGCACGTTTGTGTCTCTAGGGTTTGTACAAGGATCACAGTTCGACCGATTCCCGACCTGAGGGCAAAGCAAACATAAAGACCAAATGCACACATCAGCGGATTGAGAACATTTGAAGAAAAAAAATGTCTTACAGAAGTGAGTGAGTGTGTGTGTGTGTGTGTGTGTGAAGGGGTGCGCGGTGCTTGCAGGTCATCAGCGTGTAGCTACAAGAATACCTCAGAGCTCAGCCGAATAGTGAAGGATGAGAAAAGAAAAGACTGTCAAATAGCCATTTATCAAAAGTGAGGGGAGCGACGCGCAGCGAACGGTGAATTCCATTTCCCAAATGTAATGATATGAGCCACTGACACGTAGACAGAACTGAACTGTCTGGACTCTCTGACTGGAAAGTTCACTCCGAGTAAAAATCGTCAGGTAGAGGTGAGTGAGTGTCATATCAAAAAAAAAGAAAAAAAAAGAAAAGCGATTTAAGGTGAAAATATTGCCGTGACATGTTCGACGTGTTAAATTGTTGTTAGAGAAAATTTTCCAAGAAAAACTAGTGTGTAAAAAAAAAAAGATTTTAGACCAGGGGTGTCAAACTAATTCTGGTTCCGTGATAAATTAATGGGAGATGGCGACGTAATTCTGAAACACCGTAGGT